ATGTCAAACCTGCTTTAAGCCGCTGTCTATGTTACTGGATAAAATAGCGGCAGCTTTTCCAGTAGGATGCAGACCGTCCGCTTTCAGCAGGTCAGGGCGGCCCCAGAAAAAAGCCCAGTTATCCACAAACTGAAATCCCAGCTTCCTTCAATTCCTGGCCAGCCAGCGGTTCAGTGACATAATTCTGCTATACATCTCATTACCTACATAAGGGACCAGAGATATTAAAGTTCTTTGGATATCTAAAGTAAACACATTTTTTTAACTACTTACATTTTTTTAAAGGAGGTGATAAAAGCTTCACCTCTGACATTACCTCCACAGCTGCATTTGTGACAGAGACTGACAAGTTATAGCGTGAATCCATGATATGACTGCAACCTACATCTGGTATCTTTTTCTTGTTCTTAACCTGTAATAGCCCTTATGTTAATGGTAATACTTTAGCAACAGCAGAGTAATCCACAAGTTAGCAACATACCTGAAGATTTTGTCGATAGGAGTGAAGCAGATGAGAGTGAACCAGCAGATGACGCAGCAGATGACGCAGATGTGTTTGTGTCTTCTGCATCAAGTGAAGAGGATTCTTTAGCATTTGAATTTGAGGAATTGCATTGAGTTCGGGTACACCTTCTCTTCAGTTGTCGGACATCTTCCTGAGAGTTACCTGAAGTAATTTTCCGTGCTTTCGTCTTCTTTCTTTTGTGTTGTATGAGACTTTCTGCAGAACTGTCACTTTCTTCAGCAGTTTGAGGACCATATTCTTCCTCACTGATGTCAGTACTTGATATAGATGGGCATCCAAGCATTTGTCTGGTAAGCTAAAAAAAAGAAAAAAGAAAAAAGAAAGAAAGAAAGACGTTAAATTTTTCCATTCACACAAGCATTTAAAGACCAGAGGTAGTACATTAGTAGTTGTAACAGCTGTACTGGTATTGACAGTTGTATTAATACCATTTACGGTACCACACATGTCACCACTTAATTTGAACTAGTCATATCAAGTAATCTTTCCTCTGCTGCATCACATTTGCCAAACAACCCTGGGTGGCTTTGTCTGGATATGCTGTCATTACCCAAAGACTGTCAATACAGCTGTGATGTCACACTCATTAACAGTCACTTAGGTTAGTTTTAAACATCTGGGACAATGTAATCTCTAAGCTAACACTGTTTCTAGGAAATTGCTGAACTTAGTTTTCTTTTTGTATATATACACTAATGTTTATAGAAATTGATTTTCTTCATTTAAATATATGATATAATTTTTACCTAGATCAATTACCTTTGAAGAACATTTTTTATGTTTGTAAGGTAGAATAGTATCTACTCAAGTATCAACTGTGTTCCAGGTAAACTGAAGATTTTAGTAGTGCATTGAATTTTAGGATTGTCAGGGGATGAGACTGACAAATGCTTAATTAGTAGGCGACAAAAGCATGACAGTCATTTGTTGAGCTCCTTTTATCAAATTCAAAGAAATAAATTTTAGTCATAGCGCATAAATAAAATGGGCATTTTGGAACCACCTTACAAGAAATAATGATCCAAATGATCCTATCACAATGAAGAATCCTGTTGCCTCACAACACAAAAGAGACTTAAAATGTGTCACACATAAAATATACGTAGGCTTAAAAATGACATGTATCACCTTTTATAAGAACATACAGAATATAAAGTTGATCACAAAAGTCATTATGTACTTTAAGCTATTCCTTAAAATCTTTTATTGCTAACTAAATGCAATCATACATTACTACCTATGCAAATGCAATGCTAATTGAATTTAAGCAACTGTTATTACTGTAACACCTTGAAAACCTTTGTGAACTTGAAGCACTAAAACCTCTGAACTTCAGACACTAGAAAAGACATTAAACATCAGTGTCCCTGACAATATTGATAAATGAGAAACCCCTTGGCTCAAGCTTACAGTCGTTCTATCAAGGCGTGCTCGTAATCCAAGAAGGTGACATGATTGTACAGGAGGTAGTTATTGTAATTATATTTTTTCACAAGACTTAGTTGTTAGTTTTAAATTTGACTGTTACCGTCTATTCACTTTGTGCTCTGTGCACAAAAATCTGAGATCTGTAGTGGAGTTGTACGAATAAACTTACAATAACACTGTCTGTCCTTCTGAGCTCAGGTACACTTGTATCCACGTCAGAATCAGCTGAAGTGTGTTCAATGATAATGGAACTGTTGCTGTCACTGGACAACTGCTGTTCCATCTAAAAAGTAAACAGAAAAAGATACAAATGACAATTACAGATTAATATAAATTACAGAATAATTATTGCTACAACACAGATTTGTAATTATGTGTGTTTATGCATTTTTGCAGCAGTTGCTCTAGCAATATCACAATTGTTGTCAATTTCAGATAAGATGGGTCACAGTTTTGATTTGGCCAGCAAAATATAAACTCTAAACAAGGGTTTGTTTGTTTTTGTCATTGTGAAAGGCTCACACTTTCCGGCAGGGTGGAAAGACCTTTCTGAGTATTACACTGTTTAGCATGTTGAGTTA